GGATAGACCTCAAATTCGGGGTTCAAATTCTGCCTTTACCTCTTCCTAGCTGTGTGATATTGGCAAGTAATTTTACTACTCTGGCCATCAGTTTTCTTCACTGTAACATCTATGTTGGTGTATAACAAAAATTAAATGTCAGTGTACATACAGTCCTCAGCAACAATAAAATCCTTAAATGCTAGCTGTTGCAATTATACATGGATGTTTCCCTTATAAAACCTCCATCAGTAAGACAGCTTTGTTTGTTTGTTTGGACCTTTGATCATTTTCTTTATCTGCAGGGTATTTTCTTTGTTTTTAATATAGATCAAACTATTTGTGAGGTTTGGCACCCAAGCTACATGTATTCTTCTGAATTTCTTTATGTCTCCACATCCTCACCCTCACTAACTCCAGAGGAATGCCCTGATTTAAGCAGATAAAAGACAAAACAAATTCCATATTTGATTGCAATTAAGAAAGAAGGAATTTCTGTTTAACAATTTGCTTAGATCAAGTAGGGTTTGCTTTGTGAATCCGGATGCACCTAAGTTGGGTGCATCTATATTTAAAATTGTTTGGAATTTCTGAAGAGATGAGCGATGAGCAGAATTTTGAAGAGAAGCAAGATATTGATGAAAAGAGCAAGAAATGAATTTGTAGGTCAGTGGGGGGCAGGGGGGTTCGCACGAGGAAAGATATGGAGATGAAAATGAGCACGTCACATGCAGGGGGGTGTCAGTGGTGGGAGTGAAGAGGCTGCAGGGAGAGGTAATGAGAAATGAAGGTGGGATGGGATCCTGGGTTGTGTCATATTGGTGGAAAGCTCTGAAGGCCAGACAGGGCTTGGGGTGTGCATAATAAGTGACATGGAAACCCCAGAGATGGCTGAGCAGGCAAGACACCTGAAGAAAATGAAGTTAGAGGAAAATCTTTAGAGCATTAGTGAGTAGGTGGGATCAGATGAACACAAACCAGAGATAGGGAACTGAGCTGCTGAGAACCCCCTGGACTGGGTGGCTAGGGGAGAGGAGGGGAGAGGCTAGATTAACATATCACAGTGCAGTGTTTGTGGCAAGTCGTTCGAAGAGCTAAGAGAGCAATAGGAAATAACTCAGACTTAACGGAGGGAACTTGGAGATCACGGTGATGTGGTATTTTGAGGGGAGGTAGGATGGGGGTAATAAGAGAAGAGAATAGTAGTGGTTTTAATAGGGCGAAGTCTAATAAGACCACTGTATTTGCATGTTAAATTTATATTTTAATTACAATAATGGAAAACTACAGCTAGGTAACACATTACTGACTCAAAGAAAGGAAAATAATGGAAAGAAGGAATATTTGGGACACTCTTCAGAAATTGTCATCTTGAGCAATCTCAAGCCACATAACGTTTTTGTTTGATGTTGTCTATGGGTGTAGAACAGTGTGCCAAAGACAGCGAGTGAATGTGATGCCTTGGGCCTGTGTGTCTGTGTGTTTAACTTCCAGTCTTTGCTCTGCCACCTCACCTTGTGCACCAGCATTTCAGGGTTGGGAATATGCAGGGTTTTTGTTTTTGTTTTTTTTGAGACAGTCTCACTCTGTCGCTCTGGGTAGAGTGCAGTGGCATGCTTCATGGTAGCTCACTGCAACCTCAAACTCTTCGGCTCAAGTGATCCTCCTGCCTCAGCCTCCCGAGTAGCTGGGACTACAGGCACCCATCACAGTGTCCAACCAATTTTTCTATTTTTAGTAGAGATGGGGGTCTTGCTCTTGCTCAGGCTGGTCTCGAACTCCTGAGCTCAAGCAACCTGTGGATTGGGAATACGATGATAGAGTTTGCCATGAAACTTGATACTTCATGAGACACCTCAGAGCTTCCAACAGCCTCTCTGTAGCCTGGGAATACAAGAGGAAGCAGGATTTTCCTGAGAGCTGGAATGTATTGAGGAATCATTTTAGGTGCCCCTGGGTCATGAGGTGTCATGGGACCAGGGTCTCTAATGACTGACATGTGATGGGCGCTTAGGGGCTGGCACTGTGCTCTGTCCTTTGCACATGGTTGTGTTGCACAGTTGTCACCGAAACATGGCTGCCTTTGCAGTCTCTGCAAATGGTGCCCTCCATGTTGGAAGTGAAATCTTTTTCTTATAGAAAGCTCCTGTGAATATCTTAGTTCGAAATGCCTCTCTCAACTTTCTCCGTGAATAAGGAGAGGAGAGACAGTGCACTTTCAAGTTTGATCAGATCACAGAATTACTGTTATCTTCAACACCTTTAAGATACCTTTAACTGTGAAGTAAAGTGTAAATTAGCAGGAAAAACATGTTTGGTTTCCTGACTAAGATAGGGAGATTTCAACAGTTGACATCCAGCTGGTTTTTAAATTTTGGCTTGTAAGTGTTTTGTGTTTTTAATGGTGCTGACAAAACTTTTAAAAAATGAGGAATACATTATAAGAATATAAGATGCCAGTTTCTGTCTTAAAAAAATGTTGTCTGATTTCTTATGGAATATACATACCCTGTTTTAATATATGATTTACTAAATATGTATCTTTTGCATATTATAAAAGATACATACATATCTCTACAATGTCTGCATCTTTTCTAAGTTTAATCTCTCCAATTTAGTGGACTTTAATATTTTTATATGCTAACTTATTTGTAGTCAAAAAAATGGTAAATTGCGGTTATTTCACTCTATTTTTAAAGTTACTTTCATATGGCCTGAAGGTTTAAATTAAATGTGCACATTATGTTGGTGTTTAATTTACATGCTTCAGATTTCTATCACTAATGAAATAATATTTTATTTCCTTTAGAAATAACTTTATACTTCATAATTTATAGCTTAATAAAATAGCATATATTTAGGCATAATTTTTGAAATGAAGGAGGTGATCTATTTTGCATTTGAATTTGTAAAGAAAGCTTCTTTAAAAAGCTAAACTCAACAGCATAAAAATATTAATACATTTGGTTGAAGAAAAACTGGTTTAAAGCTGAACAAGTCAAAGTATTTTAAAAATGAAGTGTTTCATGTATTTGACCAGCTGTCTATAGAATTAGGCAGAGAGTGGGGTGCATAGCCAACGTGTGGCAAAAGCTTTCGCTTTCAACCACATTGAATCACCAGAAAGTGCATTACATCTTTTGTTCATTCGATGGCCACGTGGGCGGAAAAGTGTTTTTCGAATTGCATTCCACAGTTTTCTGAAGCGCCTTTGAATGGAGTAGCTCTTTGAAATTAAGTGTGATTTTGACAGGCAGGTTTCTGCAAAGCAGGGTGAGAACTTCCTAAGCCATGAATTGGAAATAGGCTTCTCTCCTTCAAATCACCTTTTAAGGGTTTTCATGTTTGTGCTGAAAGGTCGGTAAGGACAGTTCCTCTTTCACATGATCTCTGAGCTTTGGCCAACCAGGTCTCTAGTCTTGCCTATAGGTGGTTGTCACATCCCTTCCTGGGGACCAGCAGCTTTCACTCCTCTGGGAGGTTCACCAAGACTCCCTGACTGGAGAGAGCTCAGCTATTAACCCTTCATTGCTTGGCTCAGACAGTTTGAATCAGCACACACATTCCCCATCCCCAACTCTAAAAGTTTTCTGGTGAGCTTTTAAAAAAAAAGAATTTATCTCCTTCCCTAAATGTTGGGGAATATCCAAAATTGAGATTCTGGACTTGAAGCCCTCACATTTAGGAGCTGAAGTTAGTAGAACACTGGAAATAAAAATGTCCTGTCTTAGTAGAGTTGAGTTTTTCCAAGGGTGGGGGTAAGGGTGGCTGGTGGTGAAGCTGAACAAGGAACAGACACAAGAAGAGTAGGAGAATGATAGAGCTGGGATTTGACATTATTGATTCAATAATTGATTTTGCTTCTGGATTATAATCTCTAACTTCATTCTTAGATATTTCTTAGTTTTAGAGCAGGCATGGAAACATTTTCGACTTGTTCATTGAAAATAAACCTAACTTCTAAGTTATTTTTTTAAAAGACTAGTTTCTTTCATTTTTTGACGTTTTTCAAAGTCTGCTCACCGTGCCCCAGACCAGTCCAGTGCTTTTTTCCATTTAGCAGGTGCAGTAAGTGGACTGATCCCACCACCCTCCACCTTAGGCGTGGAAATCCACTGGGTCCTTTTAAAATCGGGCACCAAAGCTGTTGCTCCTCCCAGACTAATGATGAAGGCCATAAATCCACATGTGACTGAACATTAATTCCCAACCACTCTTCCTGGAGATTCTGGTTCATTTTAGTGTCTTCTCACAATTACCGCTCCTTCGACACAATAACTGATCTTGAAAAATTTGAGTGTAAGTCCTTTGAGGGAGGCAGCATTGTTCTGTGTATCTTCCTGAAGGTTGATGAACCTAAGGGAAATCAGTGGGAAAAGACCAGTCAGAGATACTTTAGGGGTGCAAATCTCTGCTTTAACCTGTGTTGTTAGAATCTTTCTAGACCATGGGAATAGGAACTTAATATTCCTGGGTGGAGGTGTAGAAAAAGCACTAGAGTTTTCACCTATTATATAAACTGGAAAAAGCAAGAGTGTCTAATTTATTATTATTGTTATTATTTCAATAGATTTAGGGGGTACGAGTGTTTGTTACATGAATGAATTATATAGTGCTGATGTCATAGTTTTTAGTGTATCTGTCACCAGAATAGTAAGAGTGCCTAATTTTTGTATCAGAACTTTTTAAATAGCAAGCGACAGAATGCTCAATCCAAAAGGGCTTAACAGATATTTATTAGCTCATAAAACTGGAAAGTCTGGGAATATGGTTTCTTTGGACAACATAGGGCTCAAACGATTTTCACTGGCACAAGTTGTTCTCTCTTCCTGTCTTCACACAACCTTTGTGGCATTGGCTCTGTCCTTTGACAGTCTCCTCCTTTTTGGTGTGGCATCAGCCTCGTACTTTGTCAGATTAAGTACCCCATCACTCAAGATGAAGTTCTGAATCTAGCACTGCTTGGACATGACTGACTCGATTAGAATTGCGTTTCTAACTGAACCAATCCCTGTCGCCAGGGGAAGGAGGTGATCTATCTGATGGACCAAGCTGGGATCACCTGCCACTCAAGAATCTGGAAGTGAACTTAGCTTCGCAGAGACCATGTGGTCTGTGATGAATGAAGAAAAGATGAGTCTTCATATAAAGGTGGGAGCACTGTTGGCAAAGTAGGATGAAAGGATTCTGGGCGATCAGAAACAATAGTGGCCTTCTCTGTCCTTACAGTACTTTCTCCTGAAAGTATGTTTAGGGAGAGACCTGATATGTCACAAGATCCATGTACCTGAGTAACATAATAAAGATAAGCTTCTATAGACTTCCTCCTCATTTGGAATTTTTAAAAAAATTTAATATACTACACTGCACAACACAACTCTACGCTAGGTTTACTGATGATAATGCAATTATTAAACATCATGTGTATGATATACTTGGAACAACTGTTGGAAATGTGTGTTTATAACTCCCTTCATAACTAGCATGGAAAGACCAACTGAGGTCATCTGAAACTTTTAAAGTGCTTTGAGTGACTAGACATAGTCTTACATTAAAATTGCTAGCAAAATTTTGAGAAATGCACATGGGACCACAAAAAGTAGTAAAGGAAAGAAAGGGAAATTATAATAGATGCTGGCTGAGGTTAAATGATCCATTATGTATCAATTTTGTGTTATATCAATAATTCTGCTATTAAAATGTTTTTCATATCTAAAGAGTATTATGACATTATTTCTTATTACAAGGCTATAGCCAAAAAAGGAAATCGTAGATTCTGCTGACATTCTATTTATTCTTTAGATTTTACTACTTCAAATAAAAATCTGTCAGTGTTGCATTTTTTTTTTCTTTCTCAGCTTCTCTGAGTACTGGATTGAGCTTTTATCTCCCCTGTGAATGAGATCTATTTTGTAAACAATTGGCATAGCATTGTTGACAGCTCAGACAGGTTTTGGAGATTCAGGGGGAAGAAAGAACAGAAAATCACTGGCAAAGTCTGCATGGGTCCAAAAGTGTGAAATATATTTCACAGTGATGTTTTGGATTAAGTGTTGCTCTTTTTCTGGTCATCTTAAGTAGGATGACCATATATACATATGTGCATATATGTTGTATTTGATGTAGAGGCATTAATATTTGAATATCAGGATATACACTTTCCACACAGTACTGTCAGGTGGGGTATTTGGATAGAATTAAACTAATTCAGCCAAACGATCAATTTTATTTTTTCTCTCCTCAGAATCACTATGCAATCAAATGGAAGCAACTTAATTGGCCGGTTATTTTGGTGTCATCTAAGAACATCATGCCCTCTTTCATGACATAATTTGAGCTTGATAATTTCACCATTCAAAGAGCTGTGTTCCGGACTTACAATTTTATTTTATTTTTTGGTCAGGGGTAATTGGGCCAAAATTGAAATTTAATAAAAGTGACAGCAATAAAAGCCACAATGTTAAAATGGCATTGTGCAAGAGTACAAGGAGGATGAGAAAGCATTTCTGGGAAATACTCAAATGGATATTAGAAAATGGCCGACTATTTTTTTAAAACGAGAGAATGAACACCATCTTCTACAAGTAAGACTGTAGATAATATAAACTGCTGCTTGCTTCCTTTTCCCCAGTTGGCCTGGGAGAATCCATGTGCTCGTCTAATATGTACTTGTTCAAGTAGGTTCAGAATCACTAACAAGCCTCTATTGAATATCCACTATGTAAAACACACGTGTTAGACCAGAATATTACACAGTAGCAGAAGGATTTCTGCTCTTGAAAGGCTTAAAAGAAAGTTGGGGAAATAGGAAATGTAGAAAAACATAAATATCACTTTTAAGTAATACAAGTTAAGTACATAATTAATAGTATAGATCAAAGGTCAACAAGTGTTTTTTTTAAAGGGCTACTTAGAAAATATTTTAGGCGTGGGCCATGTGGTCTCTGTTGCAACTATCCAACTCTTGTAGCACAAAAGCAGCTACAAAAATGAATGAGTGTGACGAGGTTCCAATAAAACTTTATTTGTAGACATTGGAATTTGAAATTCATATATTGTTCAGGTGTCATAACACATTAATCTTCATTTGATTTTTTTCCAACAATTTAAAAGTGTAAAACTCATTCTTAGCTTGCAGACTATACGGAAACAGCAAAGGGTCAGATTTGGTCGGTGGGGCACAGTTTTTTGATATATAGAACAAATAATAAGTGTTTTGCTTTGTAGGGATATAAATATGTAACATGTTCGTTGCTGATGTTTCTCATCTTAGAAGGAAGTTAAATATGTAAAACAATACACTTGATTTTAAGATAACTAGGTCTAGGGTTCAGTTTTCTTTTCTTTTTCTTAGTTAACTAATTGGTTATTTAATTATTTCCAGTGGAAGCTTTTCTGGTTAGGGCTGAACCTCAGATGTGTTTGCATGTGACACTGGGAAATGGTTTGGTTTGGCTATGCATAAGGGATGTATTTAAGACAGCAGTGAGAGAGGAAAGAAGAGACTTGAATTCTGGGCTGAGTGGGCCATACTTCAGGGAAGAGATGTCCTGGAAGTTACTTAGCAGGAGAATAATCTGCTCAGAGTTGAGCTCTAGGTGGTTTAATGTTTAGACCAGAAATAGGAAAACAAAAACAAAAACAAAAAAACAAAGCAGGGTAAGGCAGCTAACATGACCAAACTTCTCATATGTCAGACACTCCATAGTGGTAATCTTAAATCATTTCTGCATTTAGTGGAACGAAGGGAAGGCCAGTGTATAAAGTCTTGCAGGAATAAGAAGAGAAGAGAAAGGTGCTAGAAAAATTCCACACTCTTTTGCTTCAGGTGGAATGAATAAAGGAAAGGAAAGAATCAAAGATAATTCAATGTTTCCTAGCCCAGGAGACTAAAAGAATGGTAACAGGGAGTCACGAATAGTGGGGTTTTGGAAAGAAGCTTGAGTTCAGAAACATGCTCACAGCTAAGCAAATTAATGCAGGCCAGCAGACTCGAGTTCCAAGAGACTGAGCTGAAAATTCATGGCTCTCTTAGTAAATACTGTCTGGAGTTGATTCGAAGAACTGTTTCTGCATGGCTTCGATTAAGGACCCTTGTGCTTCGCCACTTCACTGACCATAGTGGGTGTGAGAGAGACTGGTTACATTTTGTGGGTCGGTAAAAATGTTTGAATAGTTAAACAGTTTTAAGATGTTATGGAAAAATACATATACACACACACATATAGACACACTCATGCACACACACACAACCACAGAAACTACCACACTGAATTTAGTGATTCCAGAAATTGGATGTATTACAAGTGGCAATTCTTTGAGTTCAGCTTTAAATATGTCAAAATCCATATGTTCAACACCTTTGTTTAACATATGCCTGAAACATATTCTGCTTTTTATTCCCCTAACATTTGCTTTGTGAATACTAAAATAATGAAGTTATGTATCCGATTCATAGACGCCTCATTGTTTTAGCTTGCTGACTTGTAGTGCCTCTTCTTATTCGGAATAAAAAATTCTTCAAAAGAACAAACAGTTTTTGACTGATCCATGCCCTTCCCCTTAAGTTCCTTGCGTGATTAAATAGATGTTCTCACTACTCTACTGGTCTTTTCTCTGAGTAGCCCAATTATTCTGTCAGCTTTGATTACTAATCTGCCAACATGTTCGCATTTTCTAATTCAGAGAATTAGTCACAATTGCTTGTGATGCCCGTCTTCAGTGATTTGCTTTATTGGCGTCCGTGAGTGCTGAGGAAGACTGGCTTTAAGTCACAATCCCTGGCATTGTCATATTTTCAAAGTATTGAAGAGCTCACACGACTCCCCTGAGTGCAGGTAGAATTAGGAAGGAGGCGTAGCCCTGGCTCTGGTCAACTGTGTGAGGCTTTTCCTTACCTCTCTTCACGTCTCTCCTTTTTTGCTCCCTTCCTTCTTTCTTTACTTTCTTTCTCCCTTTTCCTTCCCACTGAAGTGCTCACTGCAGCCAGGCTTCAAGGAGGAAAACAGAAGGCGCTTCCAATCCCCAAGTAGGAAGAGTTTTAACACAGGGAGATGGAGGTTTTCCTAGCTGCTGGCTGGGCTGAGGAAAGGGAAGTCAGGGAAGGACAGCCCCTGAGGTCCACACCAACCTAGAAGATTCTCCATCATTTGCCTGGACTCCCCACGAAGCCCCTGTCCCTGGCTCCCCACACCCAATAATGGCTTCTCCTTCTTAGTGTGTGCTACAGTTTGGATATTTGACCCTTCAGCCCTCGTGTTGAAAGTTGGCCCCCGATTTGAGGTGGGGCCTGGTGGGAGGGGTGTGGGTCATGGGGGCAGATCCCTCAGGAATGAATGGCTTGGTGCCCTGCCCGCCTGTTCGTGAGTGACTTCTCAAGCTATTAGTTCTGATGAGAGCTGGTTGTTAATTAAAAAAACACCTGGTGCCTGGCGCGGTGGCTCACACCTGTAATCCTAGCACTCTGGGAGGCCGAGGTAGGTGGATTGCTCGAGGTCAGGAGTTCGAAACCAGCCTAAGCAAGAGCAAGACCCCGTCTCTACTACAAATAGAAAAGAAATTAATTGGCCAACTAATATATAGAGAAAAAATTAGCCCGGCATGGTGGCGCATGCCTGTAGTCCCAGCTACTAGGGAGGCTGAGGCAGGAGGATCGCTTGAGCCCGGGAGTTTGAGGTTGCTGTGAGCTAGGCTGATGCCAGGGCACTCACTCTAGCCTGGGCAACAAAGTGAGACTCTGTCGCAAAACAAAACAAAACAAAAACAAACAAACAAACATAACATGTGGCACCTCCCTCCTCTCTTGCTTCTGTTCTTGCCACTTGGTCTTTGGGGGCCTCCTCCCCTTCCCCTTCAGCAGCAGGAGGCCCTCAACAGCAGCCGAGCAGATGCCCATGCCATGATGCTTCTAGTACAGCCTGCAGAGCCCTGCGCCAAATAGATCTCTCCTTATAAATCACCCAGTCCCAGGTATTCCTTTAGAGCAACAGGAGCGGCCTAAGACGGTTCACCAAGACATGCAAATGCCTCTCACTGGCAGATACTAGCCTGGAACAACATGGGGAAAGGAATCCTGGAAACTATAGCTCCAGTCTCCTCCCCTGCAATGCAGGAAGTCATATAAATGGGAGTGACAATGACATTGAATTGACAACGCTGACACGTGTGCTGAACTTCTATCAAGCCAAACAAAGATAAATGTGGTGATTTCTCTCCTCGAGATGCTGACAGTCTGGTTAAATGGACCATATGTTAGTTTTCTAAGATGGTAAATTTTACTGAGCAACTATGCCAGGATGAATCCTCACCATAGAGCCCTGCTGGAAAACATTATTAATGCATAACATTGATTATATAATAGTTCATTTTCATTAAGTCCTCAGTTCTTAACAGATACTTACAGTAAAGCTTGACATACAGCAATTACTAGAAATAAAAACACTGTCCCTCAACATAAGTAGTATGATGTCACTAAATTTTCAAGGTGCTTTTAAAAATATTAATGTTGTTATTATATTTTTTCAGGTAATGATTGGGGAATAAATTATTCTTGGATCACAATATTCCCTTTGAATGGGTAAAAATCTCCCATTTATAAGTAGGGTAAAATCTTCCTTGAGGATAACTTCATAAAACTTCAGAACAGCTCTGTTCATTTAAGTACCATGTATCATTACATTACAAAGAAGCTTTCAGATGGAATTTAGTGCCTAGAGAATGCTGAAAATTCAGTGAAATTGGTAAGTTTCCAGTCTTATTTCTGTTGAGCCACAGAGGCATATGATATGTCGAAAGATATGCATCAGGTACAATGAGAAATTAGCTGTATAAATTTAAGCTAGTTATTGCCATTGAATTGCATGTTGTCTCTTCCACATTTACGTTTCTTGATAAGATTACTGAATCTTAGTGGAAAGAGAATTCTGTAGTGGAAACATATGTGCTTGTGGCAACAACAAATGATCACATCTCTACACAACCTCCCTCAATGACTCCTGTTGTAGTCATCTTGGCTTGCCGTAACAAATTACCATAGACCAAGTGGCTTCAACAACAGACATTTATTTTCTCTTAGTTCTGGAGGCTGGAAAGTACAAGATCAATGTTCCAGCAGAAACTTTGGTTTCTGGTAAGGGCATTTTTCATGGCTTGCAGATGGTGGCTTTCTTGCCTGTCCCCACAGGGCAAACACACACACACACACACACACACACACACACACACACACAGTTCTTTCTCTTGTTATAAGGCCATAGTCCTATCAGATTAGGTGCCCACCTTTATGACCTCATTTAACCTTAACTTTAGCCTTAATCACCTCTCCTATCACCAGATACAGTCACATTGGAGCGTTGAGGGTTGGGGCTTCAACATATGAACTTGGGTGCGGGGACACAACTCAGGCCATGACAGCTCCCATTGCTCACATGCAAGATAACATCTTAGCTCTGCAGTGTGGCTCGAAGCTGGGCTCTCCAACCTCAGAACTCAGAGCTTCTTCATGTGGGCCTTTTCCCCCCAGTTCTTCCTTAATTTTGTCTGTCTGGCTATCTCACACCTGGATGTCTTTGTAGATGTTATTTGCTCAAGTAGAAACCCTATTCTCCTCTTCTGTTCTTCTTCATCTACTGTGATATCCCAAACCAAGCTAATTTCTATTCATGTTTAGTATTGTGCGTTCTGCCAAGCGCTGTGTCTTTTGTGTATTTATGGGTTCCACTGCCTACCTCTGTTTTTCCACCTAAATTTTTATTTTAATAATTTGATTGTAAGTGTTCTGCATGGGACTAAAAG